GCCCTCTTACCTTATACTAAGTAAATTAGTGCAAAGAAAAAGATTAAAACTATTTTTTCTTGTGACTCTTCGACGTCTTCTTTACTTCTTCCACTCATACAGGACTTGCATCTACTAAGACAGTGTAACAGAATACAGATGGGACAGGTTTAACACAACTTATAAGAGGTCTCGACAGACTGGAGCGGCTTAAAGATAAACGTCTTATGTGTAGCGTTTTACTGATAAACTAAAAGGATTTTATGAAATAAACATATTTTTGAGTCTGATTTTAAAATACTAAACAGGCAGGTAAAAACGTAGCAATGTCTCTTCGCCGTATACTACACGGCCAATGCAGTTAAGCGGGTTTAAAGTTTGGTAATAGGTAATTGTGTCATAAAGTTGCCTTTAAATAAATTATCAAAGTAGTTTCAATGTAATTTGGCAATACTATTAATATGAAAATGAATGTTACGTTTACTTAACAAATTATTAGGTGAAATAGCAAATTATTAGTAGATGTCATTAGTAAATTGAGACTTAATCACGATCATAATAAGGTACATATTACCTTTGCGAAACTTTATAAATGATCTGTATACGAGACATTACAGTGAAAAATAAATGTACCTACAAAATTATCCATATATTGGTAAAACGCCACCGTTAAGTCATGATTTTTGGAAAAGTTTATCTTTCGAACAATCATTTCAATTATTGAAATTATTATTAAATAAATTATTGAAATCGGCAACTATTCCAAACTGACTTTACCCTTCACTTATCAATAGCTAGTTTTCCTGATTTATTCCCTTACTTTTACCAAGCGTTTTACACTTTAGATGGGAACGAAGACTTACGAATTCTAAACAAACAAGATTTACGGCGGATGTAATCTTTGCTTGTTTGCTCTCATGTACGGTTTGCTGTGTATTGTCTATTGTTCCACTCACTTCGAAATTTAAATACAAATCATTATTCTCGAATCGGGAATTTAAAAAATCATAAAATTTCAAAAAACAAGCATGGCTGTCTCTTAAGACACAAGTAACTCACCTAGTTTAAGGGACAGAGTTTCACATCTTAAATACAAAATTGTAAATTCCTATCAACTGTGTATTCGAATATGTATATCTTTGCGTAAATAAAGTATTATTATTATTATGGCTGCAAACAAAAACCAGATCTATTACGTCATTAACCGATGACACTGATAGCTGTCAGTTATTTTGACATTTAATGCATAAAATTATCATTATCATTCTATTTTACATACTCTATTATTATTAGAATGGAACTCTGTAACTTTTTAAAAGAGACCCAAGTGTTTCTAGATTGACATTAAAAAAAATAACTCTTATTTGATTTGAGTTTTTTAAATTAGAATATACTGGCTGCCAGGGAACTTGATGAAATAAATCGACACCGATAAAAAAAACATATTTTTAAAACGATTTATCTGTATTCATCAACAGCCTTTAATAGTCCACTGCTGGACATAAGCCTCTTCTTAGAAAGGAGGTTTTGGCCTACTATACCACGCTGGCCAGACGGGTTGGTATAGGGTTTGTGTCAAGTTTTCCTTCTCTCTGCAGTGCTGCGTAGTTTTTTCCCTTAGTCGGCTCTTACGACACCCACGTGATGAATAGGGGTGGTATTCTTAATCCGTTACCACACGGACCTGTATTTATCTGTATTAATCACGATAAATAAGTCTTTATATTCATATAAAATCCGAAAATTTCGCAATAATCCTATTTAAAAGTTTAGCACTATTGTTATTTTGAAATATTATGTATACCTACTTATGCACATGTATTTTGAAATATTTTGTAATACTGCAAAACATACAGCATTTTTTAACATTTACGAAACTAACTCAATTTACATGTTTTACATCAGTTAAGTGGTTTACGGTTTTGAGGGAGGACGGTTTCTTAGCTTAGATAAAAGAACTCACAGCCGTTCGCAGCCATGTGTCTTCAAGAGACGTGATTGCGAAACATAAGTGGTAACAGGTTGCAATCTTACAATTAAAACGAGTTCCTATTTCCGACTTTAACTAAGTAAAAAACGTAGACAAGAATGTTTCTGAGGGCCAAGTGCGGGTTTATTTTACATCAATTCGCTTTCTACAGCGAGAGCGTTCGGCGTTGCGATTGGTTGAGATTTCAGTGGCCAATCACAGCGTCGAACGCGATCAAGTGGATGTGATATAAACTCGCACTTGGCCCTCTGTACCAAGAACAAGATTTATGTATTGGAGGAAAAAAAACTTATAATCTACAATCCACGATGTGTGTAGTGGCTTGTAATTCCCTCTCTTTCTTTCTTTCTACTGTTCCTGTCTTTTGATGTTTTCTGTCTCTGTTTATGTGAAAAGGATAATTTTAAAACATTCATTGTTATCCTTTTTTAACTGATAAATTCAAGGCTTATGACAAACAAACTAATAAATGACCTGGTGATTTCTGATTATTGATTCTTAAGCAGTTTTCAAAGATGAAATTTTGAAGTAACCTTTCGAAATAAAACATGGTCATGTAGACCATTCAGAATTATAACTATGACTATTTAATAGTATAACACATGAATGCACCTTTGTCGTAAGTTTAATCATTATTAACAATTGGCATTTCTTTTTAATATAATTAGTATGTAAATGTAGAAAATAATGTTGCAATAGCTATATCCGATCCGATTATAAGCTATGTGTATTTAAAAGTAAAATAAAACATTCCATATCTACTAATCCTAAAATCCTCGTTTTCAGACATAATCCTGTTCACATTTCAGCTAGAGAAAATAAAGATTAATGTCCACTTTGACAGCTATTATACTCTGTCATTTCAACTCTAAGCTAAGGATACATCAGTACATGTCACACGTTTTGTTTAACCATAACATCCATTTAGTTTCACTCGTCACTTCATCCTGACATACATTTTTGTTTCGAATGGTCTTTAAAAAGTTGTACATTGTACAATATAACTCACTAGCTTTTGTCCGCGGCTCCGCCCGCATGTATCGCGGTAAAAAGTAGCTTATGTCCTTCATTAAGAATCAAACTATCTCCATACAAAATTTCATCTAAATGGGTTCAGAGGTTATTGATTCCCCATACAAACCCCCCCCCCCCCCCTTGTACCCCCTTAAAGCGGTTTAAGCGTGCAGAGGTAACATACAGACAGACAGACACACTTTCGAATTTATAATATTAGTATGAATTGAATGCCATGTGATGTCATATCTTAGGTCCCTCTACTATATCCCTGGAAATATTAAAAGAGATATATTATATACATAAAATGAGTCTCCAGATTTATTATTAAAAAAATGTACCTACGTATTTAAACACGACGTGTTTTAAAATTAAAAAAATAAAAATAAAAATAACTTCAGAAGATTTGCAGTTGTAAACAAACCTATATAAAAAAAATTATATAACTATGTACTTTTGACGACAACAAGCTTAAATCCTAGTCACAAAATATGTTTTTCAATGACAAAAACCATACAAACTTTCTCTAAGTTTGTGACACTTTCAGCGACATATCTACACAATTTTAACCTGATGTCTAGAAACTTTAAATATTAACACTTCTTTTATCCCTGAAGGGATAGATAGGGGGTTTTTGAAATACAACAATATATATATTATAAACTGTTTGTTGAAAATAATAAATTTAAATACTCTCAGTCCTTCCATTTCACCGCTTAACACAGTCGTCGTTAAGCCCTTCCACATATCGTCGTAATAAGCGATTAGGTAAGCTCTACTTGTTGTCTTACAAAACACAATCAAAAATATAGCCCTATCGTTTTCCTTGCGCTGTAACTTCCTGGTACAATACTGTATCAGTGTGTAAGTTTGTCCGTTGCGTAAAGCACGCGTGCAGGTGCCGTAAACTTAGTAGAAACATTCACTATTGTGCAACAACTTTGTATGCTTTAATAAATACCTGAAGTAATGAAATTAAATGTCCAATCCAATATGTCAGTTATGATACCCTCCGGTTACAATAATGTCCCAGAATAGCCCACTTAAAAGAATTTGTAGTCAGTATACTGATATTTGTTCTGAGGTGGATATCTTTCATGATTAATAATTTAATACCGGGATAGTTATCGCTCCTTGGGGGAGTCCTTCGTTTACTAGTGGACGACAATAGGCAGTCATGTTGATGATGACAAAATTTATGCCATGTTTTAGTTTAGCATTTAGTTCACTTTATTGTGTTTGGTGTTTCTAAGTTGTGTTGTATTATTACTCCGTTACCACACGGATGTCTGTCCGTGTGGTAACGGAGTAATAATACGGGGTGTCACCACCCCTATTCATCCCATTGGTGTCGTAAGAGCCTACTAAGGCAGCAAACTCTGCAGGACAACAGCACTGCAAGGAGAAGGAAAAGTTGACACAAACCCTATACTAACCCGTCTGGCCAGCGTGATATAGCAGGCCAAAATCTCCTTTCTAAGGAGAGGCCTATGTCCAGCAGTGGACTATTAAAGGCTGTTGATGTGATGAATTTGTTTGTATATCTGGCTTTATGTCTACGAAGCTGTTAGCTTTTAAATGCTGTGTACAGATATAATACTATACAGAAATGTAGCTCAACTATTTGTCTTACATAATCTGAGTTTAAAAATAACTTTAATGAGAGCGAAACGTAATTTATATATACGATGCGAAACTTCCAAGAAACGAGCGTTATCCTGCTTCAAAGACCGGTAACGTACTAAAGACTCCATAATAGAATACTTTACCACTGATTTGTTTAAGACGACATAAATACAGTTTTATTAAAGTATATAGGTAATCTTACGGTGTTATGCAATAGACGTTATACCGTAATGTTTAAGCCAATTCTGTTTAGATTAACAATTCAATGAAATGAAAGACGAATCAAATGCAGCATTGTTCAGTTACTATGAACACCATCGCTATTGTATCTATAGTTTCCATCACGGTGTTTTTATAACCATCCTATAATGCAATTGTATATTGTTCAAAGGTACAATATGGCCATCGAAGGAATCCTGAATCGGTAAGATATTTTTAATGTCACAATACATACACTATACTTGACATAAATCAACAGAATCCATTATCATATCCCTGTGTTAAAAGAGTTGCTCTAACCACTAGTTGTAAGGACAATGGTTTGTAATCGCCGTTGCCGATCGAAGTATCATCGACCCGACCGGTTTTTGTGGAATCTTCATTACTTTCAGATTTTCTTGCAGTAGTCTTAGTTAGTCTTCTGGTGGGTCGCATTACGAGCCTTCATAGCTTTAGTTATAAGACTATCTGGTGACGGCAAACTGGACTGTGTTAGGCCTTGCAATAGGGACATAAACATATTTATGTGTGTGTTAGTTTTTTAATACTACTAACGCTAGAAAATGCGCTGTAACAAGGCCTGCTCAATAGAAATATTTGAGTTTGAAAGAGCTCAACGATTTCTCGACTTAATCCAAGGCAGAGATAGCCCAACCATACATAAAATAGTCTATTAATGGCATAAAATATAATAAATTAAAAATTATTTTGCATTGTCGTCACTTGTCCATGTGGTGACGGATTAAGAATACGGAGTGTCACTACCCCTATTCATCTCGTGGGTGCCGTAAGACTCGGGAGCAAACTACTCAGGAAAACAGCACTGCAAAAGACGGAAAACTTTACAAAAACCCTATACCAACCCGTCTGGCTAGCGTGGTATAGTAGGCCAAAATCTCCTATGTCCAGCAGTGGTACTACGTGTTGATGATGATGATGACGTCACTAATTTATATCCTGGTTTAACCTGATACGTGATCCAAGTAATGGTCGATACACAGAAATGCCTTTTCTAATAAAATAATAATACCAACTTCCCACATCTCACACACGGCCAGACTGCTGATAAATATAGGTACCTATTTAAGTAGGTATGTCTAAATACATATGTATCATAGGTAAATTCCACCTGACAGAGTTACAATTACACAGAACATATTTTTATGCTCGGTTAGGGATCGAACTCACCTCTGGTTTAGCAGTCGATGTCAATAACCTCTTTTCTTTCTGAATAAAACAAAAGAAACTTCGATCAACAATAGCAACTATAGTTGCTATTGTTGATCGAAGAAAAGAAATGAGACTTCAGAGCAACCGTAGGAAATAGAGAATGGGAATATTAATGTTTATCTACAAGATTACAAACAAATTATAAGCATGTTAAACGTCTCATGCTTATGTTTACATTATAATATGAATATGTATACATGTATGTATATGAATTACCATAGCAGCTGATCTAAGATAAGGTAAATAAGATACATGTACCCATGCAGTTTTTTTTTACTACAAGCAAGTTCTTTTAGACGTAATTCTCCAGTTTAAAAATTCTGTTAAAACTTCTATATCCTTTCCATATACCTATGTTAAAAATACTCGTATATGACTAAGCTGCTCCCACAGACTATTTTAACCGAATTTTGGTGTTTGTAAAATGTTGCTTAGCAACTATCGTTTTTAAACGTGTATGTCCTATAAATTACGTCAATTTTAACAAGTCACTTGGGGGTTTAGACTAGTTATTTCAAGTAAACTACCAGTTTAGTGACTTCGTGACACGAAATTCAATCGGTAACTGTTTGCTTTGTGAAAAATTATAAAGAAACCTTTTTTACATTGTAATGTTATTGCTTGAAAAGTATGTTAGTTACACTTTGCTTGCGTTTGGCATGATTTGTTAATAAAATGAATAAAATTATTTACTCCTAACAAACGAGCGACATTTCATCTTCCATCTAGCGACCAACACTGCAGAATAGCACAGGACGCAATCAGCAAAAATACAGAATTTATACACGACAATTAAAAATACAAAGTTTTTAAGTGTACTTACAAAGTTTTTAAAGATTAAAATCTATTATTTTCATACCTAAACCACATGACTGATTATCCGTTCAAGTGGTTTCTTCATTGTAAATATCCTGTCGACGTAATTAACGCTAAAGGCAATAGAAATGTCAGACCGTATTCACTCCACATTGTTCATTGCTAACCACATATGCGGAATAATTACTTCATTCAACCTGCCTCTTCGTCACGCATGAAGTGCGTTAACGAACCCTTGAATAATAAGCACCAATAATAATATCAATTCCCAGTTTTTCTTGTTCTAGAAAAACTTTAAGACATCAACCGTTCGACGGTTGAGCGCGTGCCGCATGACCTTTTATTTTTTTTTACTTTTTGTACTATGCATCCACTGGCTGGATTTAATTAAAATTCCATTGGCAAAGACTCCGAATGGTCTTGTAGTTAGTTAATGTGTAGGTAGAAAGTAATTCCTGTAAAGTGCAAATACTCGCTATGATTATTTTACTACTGTTAGGGTTGTAATGAATTGAAATCTTGCCGAATTTTCTTAGATTATTCGATTTGGGTTCTCCTTTTTTTTGAGTTCTGTCTTTTGGTTTCTTATATTGACTTATTATCAAAATATAAACCATGAACTCGATGTACAAACTAAAGCTCTGATCTATGTTTTACCGTAATCGTCGATTTTACAATTAGGTGTAGTTACATATTTATTACTATATTTTTATCCGATTCCTTTCCAAATCGTCCAACCCTAAGAGCAGTTCGCCCATGCGTTCCCACGATTGCTGTAATGGCTAAGTCTGGTTCTGGAAATTAGTTTTTTAGTTATTATCAAAATATTAATAATGAACTCGATGTACAAACTAAAGCTTTGATCTCTGTTTTAGCGTAATCGTCGATTTTACAAGTAGATTTAGGTACATATTTTTTACTTTATTTTTTTTATCCGATGCATTTCCAACTCGTCTAAATCAAGGTGACAACCATAAGAGCAGTTCGCCCATGCGTTGCCACGATTGCTGTAATGGCTAAATCTGGTTCTAGAAATCAGTTTTTTTGGGTAGCATTTTACGACTTAGATCCTGATTAATGCGACAATGTTATAGACGAGGTGATGCGGAATGATAGTATCCACTTAAGACAGCTATATCAGGAACATCCAAGATCAGAAATATTTCTCTCTCTCTCTCTCTCGTGGGATAATCATAGGAAACATATTTCTGATAATTATGATACGTTTTTATAGTGCATTTGCGGTTTACTGTATCCTTTCATTTCTCAGAGGCATTATGTGTTGGATTAGTGACCCTGATTGGTTAGCCGGATGTCATGGGTTCGATTCACACCTAGGACAAATATTAGAGCACGATCATTGGTTCTGTGTATGGGTGTAATTTATACTTAATTGTAGTAGTAATATATACCTACCTGTATGTTAATCAGTAATAGTCTGGTTGCCATAGTACAGGCTCTGCCCAGTTTGGCATCAGACGGCAGTGTGTAAGATTTGTAAGGTATTACTAAAAAATATGTAGAACAGATTTGTACGCTTTTATCTATTATAGGACAGATCCAAATAGTTTAATCCATATAAAAACGCATTACTTTTTTATCTTGAAATAAATATTTATTAATATTGTTTTTATTATGGTTTATTTCTAACTTACTGACTTTTAAACTTCGCGTTTAATGACACTGTACAATAATTTTAAATACATACGGGAATTAAAATCAGTTAGTCTATTAGTGACGACTGATAACGGCTAGTGCAATCTGAACGAAACCTCAGGTAATTTAAATAATTTAGTTAGTTCCATTACGTTTATCTGCTTAATTATATTTATATTTTCATTTAATTACACGTAAACGCTAATAACTACTGGTGACCCTGAATGAGAAACCCTCATAGAAGCTGTGCGGTAATTAAAAACATAATTCTGTCTGCAATTATTATTAATATTAAAGAATTACATATAAAGGCCATTAGCAAAAGGCAAAATGTTTTTATATTAAACCTTGTTATTTAATATAATATGTTCTATTAATCGTAATCTTTATTTAAATACAATTAAAAGTATCTAAAATAATCTGCTGTTAACAAGTACAAAAACATTCAACCGAGTTACGGTAAAATTAAATTTATATGACTTAAGTACTTTTATTAAACAAGAACTTTATAAATAATAATAACCCACATATATCACACACGGCCGTTTGACCCCAAACTAGGCAGAGCCTGTACTATGGTAACCAGACTTGTGATAAACATACTTACCTATATATTTCTAAATACATACATATTATAGATAAATTACACCCAGACACAGAACAAACGATCGTGCTCATCACACAAATATTTTTCCTGGGTGGGAATCGAACCCACGACCTCTGGTTTAGCAGTCAGGGTCACTAACCACTAGACCAACAGGTCCGTCAAAATAATAAATATAATTCATTAAATGCATTACTAATGTTAATTAGGATTTTATGAGGCAAAGACATAAAATTCATATTCGCATAGTTACACTTTGTCAGAGGTACACAAAATATATAAGGATATGTTTCATGGATAAAAGTTTTTTTGAAAAAATAGAAAATAAATTTGAAAAAAAGCGTGGGGTGCTTTTTACTATTGACAACAGGCACCCAACGCTTTTTTTCAAATTTATTTTCTATTTTTTAGTTTGGTTTTCTATAGAAAGCGTGTTTTTTAGTTTTTTTTATAATTTTTTTTTTAATTAGTGTATTGTCATCGTTCCTGGATATATCTACAAAGTTTGAACGAATTCTGACCCTTTAAAGTCAGTCAAAATCACGCCCAAAGGAGTTGGTTACAAACATACAAGTGAAGCTAATATAAAGCGTGTCAAAACATTATTAACGATAGAGAAATCTGGCCAAAAGTTAAGTATTGTATATAAAACAATGTGCCTTTTACAAAAATAACACGAGGCTTATATAAACTAGATAAGCGTAAATACCTTTTTAACTTGTATTTATTCCATTTGCGTCCTACTGAGTTATTGTAACAGAGAAGGTCAACAGTATTTCATATCAACGCTCGTAACTGTGATGAAACTGAAGTTATATAATGGTCTCTTCAATATATTTCAGTAATGGAAAGCATTATTGTGATAAGGAAACTATATAATTTAAAATACATAGCGGTAG